TTTTAGCCATTAACAGTCGGTCCTCAAGCCTGGAAAGGCTGACCCTTGTCAGTAGCAGGTGATGTCATGAACCCAGCAACCAGCCTGGGGATGACCAATGTCGGTCCTGGTTAGTGTGAAGAGGCTGAGCCTGGAGCATCCACTCCTCTGGTCTTGTGGGGTCACAGGTGTACTGGTTGCACATAGCTCCGTGGGAAAAAACCCAGGCGCCCTCTGGCCCGGCCCCGCCACCAGCCTTGCTCCCCACACTCCACGACTTCCACGATGTCACCTCGGCGGAGGCTGAGCTGAGATGGGTCCTGTGCTGAGAAGTCAAATTGGGCCTGGACAAAGCAGGCCCGGGTCGGCTGTGGAGGAGTAGGGGGCAGAATAGTTAGTGGTCTTTGGGGGTGGTGAGCTGTCTTCCCCGGGAGCCTCATGGAAGAACTGAGGTACTGTTGGGGGACATGGGCCAGGCAGTCCCTGTGCTGCTCACAGCTCACAGCCCTGCTGCATAGCCCTTTTCTTCCAGTGGGACATGGTTAGGCCCAACTTTCTCAGGGTCCTATTCCCTACCTCTGGGCCCACATAAACATGGTAATTGATGCCAGGCATGGAAGTACTCCATGGCTTGGAAACCACTAAGGAGCAGTTTCTTCCACAGTCCCCTCAGACTTGGGGGAGTGGAACCCCTGCTTCTGCTCCCTGCTCTCAAGTTTGGGCCCCAGGTGTGGCTTCAGCTCCTCTCTGCCTCCTGGGTCCTAGTGTCTTCCCTACTCATGCTAAGTACAGGCCCTCCACTCTGCCTCTGCTGAGCCTGCAGAACTTCAAAACACGATAGGATCAGTGGGCTCTGCCCAGGAAGGAAAGGCTCACCCTGCTCCCTGCCAATGGTGACCCCAGGGCTCTGGCAGAGCCAGTAACAGAGGAACACAGGTTAGGTCAGCCCCTTTCTTCTACCAGGCAGGGCTGACCTAGGTGGTGAGCAGAGGAAAGTGAGGTTTGGAATACTGGGTCCCAGAAAGTAGGAGCTTCCAGCCACCACAGCCACCAGGTCAGGTAGTAGAGCCATATCGGCACCACTGGGTTCTCTGAAGTCACATGTTATCTCTTCTGGTATAGCAAACCCCTAGCTCATCCTACTGAATGGAGGGGAAACCCAGGCCCAGCTAAGGATTGAAATAATCCTCAGGCCTCATAGCAAGGTATCAGAGAAGAGGAGAAAAAACACAAAGTCAGACTGCACAAAGTTGGGCACTCCTCCCCAAGCTTTGGCTAGAGTCACACACTCCACCTCTGTAGTGCTTAAGTTCACATATGCCCAGGTCTTGATTTGTCCTGGCCCCTAAGCAAAGCACCATGCTGCATTAATAACCCGGTCGGCTGATGTCATCACTCCTAATGAGAGTGAGAGCTGCTCCTGGCTCCTTGATGAAAGGACTGGCTGGGGGAAAATTGCTGTTATTGTGAGGACTAGGGTTGGCTGGATCTCCCTACACACTGAGCCCAGCCAGGCCTTGTCCCTGAGGGGTCACACTGCCCACATCCTGTCCAAGCTCAGCTCCTCCTTGGAGAGTAGAGACCAAGAGGAGCCTCTCATTGAGCTGGCCCACTCTCGGCCTCTGTTTCCTCATCTGTATAACGGGAATGGCGAGGTGGTCATAATGCAGCATGCCAGGCTCATCCCGGTGCTTGGGAGGCTGAGGTAGGAGGATTGACCTGAGACTTCAAGGTCAATCTGTTCTACACAGTGCATCTCAGGCCAGCCAGGGATACACAGAAAGATCCTGCCTCAAAACAAACAAAACTCCTGCCAAAACCCAAATCAGAGTGCACAGTGCAGCTCAGAGTATGGGACCCAGCAGGTGTCCATGCATTCATTATCAACAAGCATTCAATTTCACCTATCGCACACTCTAGATGATTTCGGTCTGCCTTGGCAAGGTGGAGTTTCCGCACTGTTCCTACCTTCTACACCGTCTTTCCCCCTTCCCTGCCCCATCCTTGCTTAACTCCTGTAGGGACCACACTCATGCCACTTTGGGGCCCTGGGCTTCTGGGGAGGGCAAGGAGGTGCCCCTGAGACTCAGGGCTCCTTGTCCCATCTTTACCTGGAGCAGCGGCTGCTCATCACACAGGAAGATCTGCCGCCTCTTGGCAATGGTGGTGGTCCGGTAGAAGTCGACCAGCTCGTTGAGGGAGTTGAACTTCTCTTCCCACAGGAAGTACTTCCCTGAGGCCTCTCGAAGCACTTTGAAGTGCTGCACCTGGTGGCCAGAACTGAAGGGAAGACCCAGGGCCTCAGACCTGCCCCCACCTCTGGAGCCAAGCCCTGCTCTGAGGTTATCTGGAGTCAAAGGAGGCAAAGATACTGGGCACCATTTTAGCAGTAGAATATGGGATTCAGGGTGTGGGCTATAGACAAGGCCACTTCCTTGCTGTGTGACTTCAGGCAAGTCATTTAACTTCTCTGAACCTCAGTTTTCTTATAGGGAAAAACACTTCATTAGGATAAGAAAGTTGAAAAACAACTTTGACGTTGGCATCACCACTGGGTACCTCTGGGTGCCTTTCATACCGCTTCAGCATCCTCTCCACTTGGACATTCTCCTTCTTCCCCTGCCCCGCCCAGTCCTCACAGTACTCTGGGAGTGAGTCCCAAGATCATCCAGACTCCAACCAAACTCTGTGCCCATGAGAGATACTCAGGTGTTTTGAACATTCATCCCATGTCCTTTCTTTCCCTTCAAGAGCCTTCCATGGCTGCCAGTGCCCTCATGATAAACCCAGGTCTTCAGATTCAAGAGCTGGCTTCTTGTCTTTGCTGGCTTCTCTGACACCAATGGCCCCTTTCTTTCTAATTCTTTGTTCATCCTTTCAGACCAATGCCACCAAACTGTACCAAGTCCATCCCAGTCCTGTTAGGAATTGTGTCCAGGGACCTGCCTGGGTCTAGCCTGCCATCTGCCACACGCCAGAACAGCCAGGCAGCTTCAGAGGTGCTGGTGTGAGTGGCACAGTGGCAGCTGTTGGTTTTTGGGGCCCTTTCCTGTCACCT